TCAGGCGGAGTGGGAGGGGTGCGTAGAAAGGTGTTGGCTGGGACCTTTTATCGTAGGCTGTGTCGAAATCGGGCTCTTTATGGGACATGGTGGGAGTGGGATTTCCCTGTAAGCTATCGTAGTTTGATGATGGGGGTTCTATTGGGCATGTAAGGGAGGGAGGGAGGAGGGTCAGGGGATGCTGTGGGCTGGTCTCTCCTGGGAAGGGGGGGGGGGTTGGTGTGTGTGTGTGTGTGTGTGTGTGTATGGACAAACCTATTATATGTGAAACACAGAGACATGGTGTATCATGGTGTGTAGGCTGTTAGGGTATTGGGGATGGGATATGGGTCCTGCTACAGTTTGAATTATTATAATAAAAAAGAAGCGCTAAGCCACAAGGACTATACAGCACTACAGTTTGAAGTGTGTGTATTTAATGTGGTTATTGTTTATTCTGGGGACGGGGTATGAGAGATTATGTTCTTTACTGTATATTCGTGAATTAGGTAACCATGTGTAAGGACTCATGTAAACTGTGTGAGATGTTTAATAAAACAGGGAAAACTTGTATGCGTGTGAGATGCTTTTCTCATAGGCAATGTGATATATACAATTGTATATATGTGTATGTGTGTATATGTATGCGAATGTGTGAGTGCATATGATATATATATATATATATATATATATATATATATATATATATATATATATATATATATATATATATATATATATATATATATATGTATGTATGTATGTATATATATATATGTATGTGTGCATATGTGTATGTGTGTGTAAATATGTGTATGGCGAGGAGATGCCCCTCTTGTGAGGTGAATCTTGTCGAAGTACATCTTGTCACATTACAGCATGGTTTCGTTCACTGGTACATAGCACGGACATATTGTACTTGGATTGGTTTTGTTGCCGCTATGTTTGTCAAATTACATTTTCTTTTTGTAAAAGTATGCTTTGTTCTGTAAGATGTGTGTATAATGGGTATACATGTAATGTCAGTGTTAGTGGCTGTACACCTTCGTACTGAAGACATTCGGTGCAAACATGCAGGTCTATGGTTAATTACTGTGTGTTCTTATGCAAATTATGAGGCAGTTGGCTTGCCTTTCCATGGGGGGGGGGGTTAGTGGGGGTAGGAGGCATAGTGTCTATACTGTTGCATACTGCACCCACTATACTAGTTGCTGGTGTATTTGTTTGTGGGTTGCTTATTATGTAAGCTTTGTGTTATGCATGGTGTCTTTTCTTCATGACATAGTGTAGTGTCAGGCTAAGATAAGATAAATTACCACATACATTGTATCTTTTCTTTGTGTACCTATACATGTACTCATCTAATTGTGGTTGCAGGGGTCGAGACTCAGCTCCTGGCCCCGTATGTATGTGCGGGTTCTAATAACATATAAATAATATGCTGTGCATTGTGCGTGTTTAGGTAGGAGAATGCATTTTTATTGTATTGTGTTGATGGTATAGGTTATTTTCCCTATTATAGTTAATGTTCAGTTGTTCATATGCGATGTTTATCGTGAGTGTAATGTTTATCCTTTGTGTCTATGCCTTATGTCAGGGTTGTGATAGGCAAATATTGTACGTTTTATGTTTTATATGTATTTCGGCCTTGGTCACAGGGTTTCATATTCTTGTTATGAAGTGTATTTAAATAAAATAAAAATAAAAAATAGTCAGCTTTAGGACAACAAGCCAACTTAAATAAACAGATAAACTTCTAGACAGCCGAGCAACATAGATGACAACAACTTTAAAGAAAATAGATTAGCCTAAACAACAGAGCATCTTAAAGATATCAGATGAAATTGAAGAAAACAGATCAAAACAGATCAACATAAAGACAACAGCGCAACTTAAGGACAGCAGACTGACTTAAAGTCAACAGACCAACTTAGATCAGCTTAAAGACAACGCAGCAATAAGCAGGTACGTAACTGGTAGTATACCTTAGATAGGGATGAACTCTGAAGGGATAATGGAATATTTTAGTGCTGGGTTCTGAATAAGCAAGAGACAGGATAACGCCTTTAACCCGTTAACAGAATTTCGTAAATACAAAACTGCTGGGTTTAAAACAAGGGCTCCGATGGATATAGATCAATGTTAGAATTTACTGTGATTACCCTAGGTAAAACCTACATCATGTACAATACTTACATGTGTGCCCATCACACGTATACCATCAAAGACCTTACTGAGAGACACTATGACCCCCATCACTGCAGGTGCATCACGTTCTCATGTCTCTTCTCTACATTGTAAACAATGTTTGAGTATCATCTGAAACGTTCATGTTCCAAGGAATTGATGCTACATTTCCCTTCATGAGTCAAAATCTAATCATCTCTCATTCTAAACGCGCTAATAATAATAATAATAATAATAATAATAATAATAATAATAATAATAATAATAATAATAATAATAATAATAATAATAATAAAAACAACAACAGCCATAAATCTTACAAGTGACCTTCATCGTAATCACTACCGGTGCCCCTTTGGGGCGGGGCAGATGCAGACCAGAGGCCTAGCTTCTCCCTACGAGCCCGGTGAGGGCGGGGAATGTGACTAGGCCTAGGGACAGTTGGTCCCAAAGATGAGGGGGTATTTGTATCTCCTCCCATGGGAGACTTACGTCTCGAGACACTCCCCAGATAGGGAGCCAAGGCCGGGTCACCACTACTTGGAAAAGACCCGGGCCGGGAGAGTACCGGCGAATAAAAAAAAAATCACTACCAGTGAACCTACAATCTGGTGTCATTATGCTTGACAGACAAATTTCACCGTGAGTTCTTGCTTATTTATTCGACATGGCTTAAGAAAGGACACGAACACGACTTCAGCTGCTTCTTTGATTTATGGAATGACATGAACTAGGTTTTCCTCGTTGCTAGGATGTCTTAAAGTAATGACATGCTAGGCTTTCTCTGCTTGTATTGCTTAAATATTAATATAGATGAGGCTTTCCTTCTACGTAATGGGCCATTTTTTTTTTACTCCAAATTCTTATATTCCATTATATTCATGGGGAAGAGCCAAATCCATGAAGGTCATGCAACATCAGGGAAAGGGGTGGTAATCAGGTTTGATACGAGTTAGGGAAGGGTGGATCTAGTTCCTTGGATCAAGAACCCATTCACCGGTTCTTTATCACATGGCTGAACTAGCTTTCAATGGGACAACATTTTGCCGTGTAGAGCTCTTATCAACTTATACGACTTGACACTCTACACAGAAACGTTGTTGTCCCAGTAATTGCTTGTTCTGCAGTGTCACAGCTTTGCAACACCTGGAAGCAGGTGTTGCAGAGCTGAGAGTAAGAGACAGGAGGAAACTGAAAGGAAAGGAAGTAGGCTTGTCACTGTGACAAAAATCATTACTCAGAGTAGTCAGGCGATGTAATTAATCTCTCTCTCTCTCTCTCTCTCTCTCTCTCTCTCTCTGTCAGTGTGTACCCACGTTTCTTACCTCTCTCTTCCTTTCTACTCACACCGTCTTACCTTTTTCTTCCTGTCTACCCACAATTTTCCCCACTGCACTATCCTCTCTCAATCCTTCCCGCCCCCCCCTTATTCTTACCATCCCTCTTACGACCTAACAAAAAAACTAGGTTTATGGGCCCATGCGAGGCATTAAAGTTAAATAAATATTTTACACCCCCTTTTCTGTCTAAGACCTATGTAAAACTCGTGAATGCTTTTACTACAGTGGCGCTGTTCAGAAAAATTAGCTGGGCTACCAGTGATATCCAGGGCGAGATGTTTGAGCAAGTCTCTCTTACAAATACTTGCTTCCTCGCTTTACCTACTGCTGTTTTTTTTATTATTGCACTCATGGAGGAGCGCTAAACCCGCAAGGATCATACAGCACCTGGAGAAATAAGAAAGCAATCAGATTCGATCTCAGGGAGATCAGGTAAAATTCCTTGGGTCAAGAGCCCCTCTACAGCGTGAAGTAACCTCACTGAAGACGGACTTTATTGTAATCTAGTCGTTCCTGTTTGTGTATCATATGTAACAGAATATGTTATTTCTCCCTGGAATGTTCGATCTAACCAAATGGGTTTACATAGTTTATGTTATGGCAAATACCAGATCAAGTATTGACTGTGTCCCCTCGTCAACCTCGCTTCACTTTGTAGGTCATTAATTTACTGTTCTAACCTCACAGGCTAAACAGTTTCTTTCTTTATATTTGAATTCTCTAATTATAATAACTTTCTTATTATCCCGATCACTCTTCAGCAATATAGTTCCCTCAGTATATCAAATTCTTCTCACTCCAAAGTCTTATTAAACGAAGGGTTAATGCTTGAACTTCCATAATTTTGTCATCAGATTACTACCACTAAAATTTCAACATTATTTGTGTTTTGGATTTTATTTTCTGAAGCTTGTGTTATTTCTCTTATCAATATTGCCATTGTCCCTCTCATCATTCCTTCTCTCCTTTCCTCACACTAAGCTCCGTCAAGTACATTACGTATTTAGAATACAGTTTTCCAGTTTAATTTCTGTTAGACGATGTCAGGTTTCTTCTCATACATATATAATATCCCTCAGCTCTTAGTTTATTTTTTTAATACCTCGTGTATGCTGATATATAAAAAGTTGACAAATGTGTTTGTTACACTGTCTCCCTTTTTCTTTCGTTTTTTTTTTTTTTTTTTTGAGTGGCAGGTGGAATGATCTCATGTTACCCCTTAGCAGCGTTTAAACAATTCTATATTGTTACCAGATCCTTTTTTTCGAAAGTTCTTGTTTAATCGATATGTCCTAACACTTCCAATTTCTTAATGTCATTAGTTATCTTTAACAATTCTTCATTGTCTTTTGTTAAACCTGCGTGAATAATATTTTCAATGATCTATTTAATCCTTCCCATATGTTCAAATCCTTTTTTTCCTCCACTAAATGGGATCCACCACGAGTGGGAAAGTTTTGATCAATTTAATAATATTATTCCTCGTTTACACAGGTTATGTCCCTCATGTGTATTCTGCCCAAGACTGTATATACCCAGAAGCCAAGTAAAAATATTTGGATGAATAAAATAACCTCAAATAATCTGCAGCAATGGAGTTCGAGGGAATAAATGTGTTGGCAAGACGCAACTATATCATAATCATAACCAAGCGTTAAACCCACAAGTCATACAGCGTTAATATTTATCGGAAGATATAATACACAGCAACCTAGCAAATTTTCAAGATCTGAGCTAGCATAAGTGAGGCTTGCAAGACGTGAGCAATCGAGGAACTCCCTCCCCGGTGGGGCAGTGCTTACTACCTCATATCGAGATGAAGATGTACGGGCACTGTGATGGTGCCTCCTTCCCACGGCTACTGCCACTCCTGCTGGCACTGGTCTCTGCAGCACTCACTGCCCAGGTCTTTGTGAGTATAATACCCGAGTGATATATTTAAAGTGTCTCTGATTATTAGGCATCCCCGAAGTATTTAGTGGTTTAAGGTATTCCACATTAAAGTGGTGTTGCATATGTAAAACAAATGAAGAAACAAAAACAAACATTAGTGTATATTAATTAAAATAATGTTGGAATTCTTAATGACGTGTGCAGTACCATTTTTATTTTTAAAATTGTGTATTTTTTTTTTTGCGTGCCTCGTCTGAACGGCCTAAATCTTTAATGCCTGATGCAGCTTCTGGACATGATAGTATCCAGTAAGATTAGTCTTCACACATCCATTTTTCTAAGAAAGTTAATGAACTCTGGATAGTTAAATTCCTAGTAATAATTAGAGAATGCCGTGTCTGATTATCTTTAAACAATCAGAGCTAGTATTTATCACTTAGCTACATATGCATCAAAGCGCTAGATAGCCCGGTTACAAGCTATGTTTCTCCTAGCCCCGGGCACACCAGTGAGCCTTAAGCTTGGTCTCCAGCTATTTTATTCTTCTGTATGTTCTGGCCTCACGAGCGATACTGTGTCAGGGCACCGCGGAGAAGCGGAGGTATATGCGTAGTACATTGATATAGAAGAAGAGAATGAAATACGTATGTGGAAACCACACCTGAACTAAGGTCTGGTGTGCCGGGCGCTAGGACGAAACATGGCGTGTAACCAGGCTATCTAGCATTTTGAGGCATCGATAGTTAAGTGGTTAAGACATCACGGTGGGAGCTCACACTTGTGAACAGAACATGTGAGCTCCCACACTTGTGTTGTCCATATCCTGTTTACATATATTTATAAACATACATCTGTCCATATCCTGTTTACATATGTTTATAAACATACATCTAGGTTTTTCTCCCTTTTTCTAAATAGCTCTTGTTCTTCCTTATTTCTTCTATTGTCCATGGGGAAGTGGAAAAGAATCTTTCCTCCGTAAGCCATGCGTGTCGTATGAGGCGACTAAAATGCCGGGAGCAATGGGCTAGTAACACCTTCTCCTGTAGACATTTACTAAAAAAGAGAAGAAAAACTTTATAAAACTGGGATGCTTGAATGTGCGTGGATGTAGTGCGGATGACAAGAAACAGATGATTGCTGATGTTATGAATGAAAAGAAGTTGGATGTCCTGGCCCTAAGCGAAACAAAGCTGAAGGGGGTAGGGGAGTTTCGGTGGGGGGAAATAAATGGGATTAAATCTGGAGTATCTGAGAGAGTTAGAGCAAAGGAAGGGGTAGCAGTAATGTTGAAGGATCAGTTATGGAAGGAGAAAAGAGAATATGAATGTGTAAATTCAAGAATTATGTGGATTAAAGTAAAGGTTGGATGCGAAAAGTGGGTCATAATAAGCGTGTATGCACCTGGAGAAGAGAGGAATGTAGAGAGAGAGAGAGATTTTGGGAGATGTTAAGTGAATGTATAGGAGCCTTTGAACCAAGTGAGAGAGTCATTGTGGTAGGGGATCTGAATACTAAAGTAGGAGAAACTTTTAGAGAGGGTGTGGTAGGTAAGTTTGGGGTGCCAGGTATAAATGATAATGGGAGCCCTTTGATTGAACTTTGTATAGAAAGGGGTTTAGTTATAGGTAATACATATTTTAAGAAAAAGAGGATAAATAAGTATACAAGATATGATGTAGGGCGAAACGACAGCAGTAGTTTGTTGGATTATGTATTGGTAGATAAAAGACTGTTGAGTAGACTTCAGGATGTACATGTTTATAGAGGGGCCACAGATATATCAGATCACTTTCTAGTTGTAGCTACACTGAGAGTAAAAGGTAGATGGGATACAAGGAGAATAGAAGCATCAGGGAAGAGAGAGGTGAAGGTTCATAAACTAAAAGAGGAGGCAGTTAGGGTAAGATATAAACAGCTATTGGAGGATAGATGGGCTAATGAGAGCATAGGAAATGGGGTCGAAGAGGTATGGGGTAGGTTTAAAAATGTAGTGTTAGAGTGTTCAGCAGAAGTTTGTGGTTACAGGAAAGTGGGTGCGGGAGGGAAGAGGAGCGATTGGTGGAATGATGATGTAAAGAGAGTAGTAAGGGAGAAAGAGATAGCATATGAGAAGTTTTTACAAAGTAGAAGTGATGCAAGGAGGGAAGAGTATATGGAGAAAAAGAGAGAGGTTAAGAGAGTGGTGAAGCAATGTAAAAAGAGAGCAAATGAGAGAGCGGGTGAAATGTTATCAACAAATTTTGTTGAAATAAGAAAAAGTTTTGGAGTGAGATTAACAAGTTAAGGAAGCATAGAGAACAAATGGATTTGTCAGTTAAAAATAGGAGAGGAGAGTTATTAAATGGAGAGTTAGAGGTATTGGGAAGATGGAGGGAATATTTTGAGGAATTGTTAAATGTTGATGAAGATAGGGAAGCTGTGATTTCGTGTATAGGGCAAGGAGGAATAACATCTTGTAGGAGTGAGGAAGAGCCAGTTGTGAGTGTGGGGGAAGTTCGTGAGGCAGTAGGTAAAATGAAAGGGGGTAAGGCAGCCAGGATTGATGGGATAAAGATAGAAATGTTAAAAGCAGGTGGGGATATAGTTTTGGAGTGGTTGGTGCAATTATTTAATAAATGTATGGAAGAGGGTAAGGTACCTAGGGATTGGCAGAGAGCATGCATAGTTCCTTTGTATAAAGGCAAAGGGGACAAAAGAGAGTGCAAAAATTATAGGGGGATAAGTCTGTTGAGTATACCTGGTACAGTGTATGGTAGAGTTATTATTGAAAGAATTATGAGTAAGACGGAGAATAGGATAGCAGATGAACAAGGAGGCTTTAGGAAAGGTAGGGGGTGTGTGGACCAGGTGTTTACAGTGAAACATATAAGTGAACAGTATTTAGATAAGGCTAAAGAGGTCTTTGTGGCATTTATGGATTTGGAAAAGGCGTATGACAGGATGGATAGGGGGGCAATGTGGCAGATGTTGCAAGTGTATGGTGTAGGAGGTAGGTTACTGAAAGCAGTGAAGAGTTTTTATGAGGATAGTGAGGCTCAAGTTAGAGTATGTAGGAAAGAGGGAAATTATTTCCCAGTAAAAGTAGGCCTTAGACAAGGATGTGTGATGTCACCGTGGTTGTTTAATATATTTATAGATGGGGTTGTAAGAGAAGTAAATGCGAGGGTCTTGGCAAGAGGTGTGGAGTTAAAAGATAAAGAATCACACATAAAGTGGGAGTTGTCACAGTTGCTCTTTGCTGATGACACTGTGCTCTTGGGAGATTCTGAAGAGAAGTTGCAGAGATTGGTGGATGAATTTGGTAGGGTGTGCAAAAGAAGAAAATTAAAAGTGAATACAGGAAAGAGTAAGGTTATGAGGATAACAAAAAGATTAGGTGATGAAAGATTGGATATCAGATTGGAGGGAGAGAGTATGGAGGAGGTGAATGTATTCAGATATTTGGGAGTGGACGTGTCAGCGGATGGGTCTATGAAAGATGAGGTGAATCATAGAATTGATGAGAGGAAAAGGGTGAGTGGTGCACATAGGAGTCTGTGGAGACAAAAAACTTTGTCCTTGGAGGCAAAGAGGGGAATGTATGAGAGTATAGTTTTACCAACGCTCTTATATGGGTGTGAAGCATGGGTGATGAATGTTGCAGCGAGGAGAAGGCTGGAGGCAGTGGAGATGTCATGTCTGAGGGCAATGTGTGGTGTGAATATAATGCAGAGAATTCGTAGTTTGGAAGTTAGGAGGAGGTGCGGGATTACCAAAACTGTTGTCCAGAGGGCTGAGGAAGGGTTGTTGAGGTGGTTCGGACATGTAGAGAGAATGGAGCGAAACAGAGTGACTTCAAGAGTGTATCAGTCTGTAGTGGAAGGAAGGCAGGGTAGGGGTCGGCCTAGGAAAGGTTGGAGGGGGGGTAAAGGAGGTTTTGTGTGCGAGGGGCTTGGACTTCCAGCAGGCATGCGTGAGCGTGTTTGATAGGAGTGAATGGAGACAAATGGTTTTTAATACTTGACGTGCTGTTGGAGTGTGAGTAAAGTAACATTTATGAAGGGGTTCAGGGAAACCGGCAGGCCGGACTTGAGTCCTGGAGATGGGAAGTACAGTGCCTGCACTCTGAAGGAGGGGTGTTAATGTTGCAGTTTAAAAACTGGCAAGACAGTGATGGAGTGAATGATGGTGAAAGTTTTTCTTTTTAGGGCCACCCTGCCTTGGTGGGAATCGGCCAGTGTGATAATAATAAAAAAAATATATTTATATGTAAACAGGATAGGTCAGGGGTGAAGAAATACGAGAGGAATATAAGCAAGCTACAAAATAAGTAACCTTGATTGAACATCCTGCAGGACCAGGAGGCGGAGGCTAAGGAGGATGAAAGGAGAGAGACGGGGGTAGTGGAGCCTGCTGCCCTCATGCAGGTGATGGAGGGCACCCAACATACCCTCACCTGGTACTCAAGTCTTCCCTCCGTTGCCAACGTCACCGCCACTGTGGAAGACGAGGTCAGTGGGAGACCAGGTCATTTGGGATACGAAGTCAGTGGGATAAGAAGTACGTAAGTGGTAAACCAGGTAGTAAAATACGTAAATTTAACCCAGTAAAGTTAAAACATGTAACTTAGTGCTATTACAGTTCTTACTCCATTCTTCACTGTTAGTTAAATAAGTTCCGTCTCTGTGTTTGTGTGTAACAGCTGAATGTAAACACTGCTGAAAATTACTAAACACACTGGAATTGTCAAATGTATTTGATATAGTAGGATGCCACCTACTAAGAACATGGTGTGAACAACAGTCAGTCCGACATGTTTAAAAGGCTTTTGCTGGCTTGTAAAGAATAAAGTAGCTTGTATCTTTTCGAGGATAACTCATCTCTTGAGAGTGGTAACAGAATGACTGATTTAAGAAAAGACACGCATTGCAGAACGAGCTTTCACTGGGACAACGTTTCGCTCTGTGTAGAGCTTCATCAATGCTCTAGCAGAGCGAAACGTAATCCCGGTTAAATAAGAACATGAGAAAGGAGGAACACTGCAGCAGGCCCATTGGCCCATACTAGGCAGGCGCTTCACAAATCCAACCCACTAACAGAACACTTTCCCAACCCATTTTTAACGCCACCTAAGCAATAAATCCCGTTCTACAAAGTGTGTCACAGTTTTCAATACCGTCTGCAGTATACTTCATTTGGGTCTAGGGTGATTGATGTTGACACTGGTGGCAGGTGGTGGCAGCAGTAGTGGAAGTAGGGGAGGTCCTTCCTGGCGCCCCGACTGATAACTTCACATACTACGGAAACATCACGATCTCCGCTCTCTTCATTGGCTACAACAAGCTCCACCTTTCACTGTACGATGACCGGCACCTGGTGAGTTACGTTGACTTTCACGTGGTGAGTTATGCTGACTTTCACGTGATGAGTTACGCTGTCTTCCTTTGTACACTATGTTTTTTTTTTTTTTTTTCGTCGAGAAGGAACAAAGTGCGAACGGTTGAAGTCCCTTGATTTGTATTCCCTGGAACACAGGCGAGAGAGATACACAATAATATACACATGGAAAATCCTAGAGGGATTTTTTTTGTTAATTTTTATATTTTATTTAAAAAACCTTACCAAATTACAAAGGATGCATAATAATAGTAAAGGAATACAAAAACAATCTTTTACGCTGCTAGTACCAGGTTATTTCTGGAGGTAACATGTATTATAACAACATCTTGTTATAGCAAACAGTACACGCAAAAACAAAACTCACTAAAGTATTAGTCATTTATTGGTACCGCCACGTAAATTGTGACCAAAGAAACACACCAAAAGGAATTTTTACATGGGTTAAAATAAAAGGAGTACCTGTCATAACTTATTACAAGAAAAAACACCATACAATGCACAACATCACAAGGTTACTAAAGTTAAAGTTGTAACACATGACTAAAGCCATAACCACCTTTAACACACACAATATATATACAACACAAATCATGTCAGTGAAGTAAAAAGACCCTAACTAAAGCTACCATAACAACTTTAAAACAAAAACACAAAGCCCGAACATACCCTCTATGACAGGGTACAGAGTATTGGTTCAAGTTGTGTTACATTATAGCCTAACCAATAAGAATTCTGAAGGAACGTATGATTCCTTATGCACAATAACCATGGAAAAACAGTATTTTAATATTATTAATATGTTAAACCATCAAGTACAATAATTCTTATGCAGAAAACAAAACAACATACATGTAACATACAATAATAAAATAAACCCAAAACAAGCTTTTATAACATAATAAAACTCAGCACATCAAAAGGGTTTAATACCAAACCCTACACAGAAATTAAACCTCCCACATATGTATGTAAACCGAAACTCTTGTCCTCAAAATTTTTGTTATAAACCCCTTAATAAACATGGCATAGACCCGAGACCTATACATACTCTTAAAAAATTACCACATAGAACCTCCAGCAAACAATAAAAGTTAAACATAATACAAGACAAGTAGTAAGTACAAGGGCCGCTGTATCTTGCCGGTCCCAAAAGAACAGACATGTAGCTCAGAAAAATTTATGTGGAAACCAACTTGCCATATCTAGTTACTTCAAAACGAGATCCTAAGGGCTCGGTATCCTGGCTATCAAGGAAGATTTCTTACACAGTGAACATAACCATTAGGTTGTTAGGTAAGACACATATGCAACAGTTAGACAACTTTATTCCGAAACGTTTCGCCTACACAGTAGGCTTCTTCAGTCGAATACAGAAAGTAGGCAGGAACAGTAGAGATGTGAAGACGATGTAATCAGTCCATCACCCTTAAAGTCGTAGAATTTGAGGTTGTCAGTCCCTCGGCCTAGAGAAGTTCAGTTCCATAGTCAGGAACTATCTGATAGTTCCTGACTATGGAACTGAACTTCTCTAGGCCGAGGGACTGACAACCTCAAATTCTACGACTTTAAGGGTGATGGACTGATTACATCGTCTTCACATCTCTACTGTTCCTGCCTACTTTCTGTATTCGACTGAAGAAGCCTACTGTGTAGGCGAAACGTTTCGGAATAAAGTTGTCTAACTGTTGCATATGTGTCTTACCTAACAACCTGTCGGTATTGTATACCATTTTGATGTTCATAACCATTAGGGTTAGAAAGTTAACCTTGTAAGCTACTCTTATATCTCACTATGGCAAACATTCCGGTGAAGCATAGCTTACCATCCACACCAAACTGCCACTACCTTTCTCTTACATACCACAAAAACTCCAGCGGTAAATACCCCCCCCCCCTTTACATCCCCCCAGAAGGAGTCCACCCCTTTGCCCATCCTCAGGGACCCTGACAAAGGGAACCCACAGTGAGGTTCCTATAACCTTCCGGGAAACTTTTTTCCCAGGACGCCCCATAAACCAGCATATTCCTACACGTCGTCCTATAGAATCTAGCCGCCAACGCTTTTATCCTCGTATCACCCCTTAAGGGGGGACAGGCCGTCGGGATTTGTACTCAGGAAGTTTAAGGAAAGGCAGATGAAAACCACCTTGGTGTATATAGTGGCAGGAACAGGGGAGGGGGGGTGTATTTGAGGAGGGTCAAGGCCTATCCACTACGGAACATATTAGTTTGTATGCCGATATTTGGTTTAGGGAGAAATGGAGGAGGGTTGGCTTTTTCTGAAACCCTAGGGCCCTGTCTCCTGGGGCATTGTGCCCCCATGTGCTCATAAGTCACATAAACGGCACGTCCTCCTCTGCCCCGCATAGTGTACAAAAACCTGAGTTCTATAGCCATGCAATGTGACGTACGATGGTATCGGCCTCCTCAGGGTCATTTTCAGTGTGAAGGATCCTTCCGGCAGCCCCTCGTAGGGGCCGCCCCTCCACATTCCCATGCTCGCCGAGTGTAGTCCCATAACCACTGAACACATCCTGTAGGCTGTATGCTGTCGCTTCAAAAGGTACATTCCGTACCTTCACTCAAGTAAAATACTTAGAAACGTCAT